GGGAGGGGGAGGCTCTCTCACCCCCCCACTCCCCCAAGCAAGCCTCCGCCACCCCCCGCGGATCCCTCACTTACCCCAGGAGGCGGCAGGGGGGCTCTTCTGCCCTCCCACAGGCCTCAGCGTTCCGCCGCTGGTCCTGGGAGGTAGCAGGGGGCCTCTTCTGCCCTCCCACGGGCCGCAGCGCTCTAGTGCTGGCCCGGGGAAGCGGCGGGGGGCGCAGTGCAGGGAGCTGGGGTGGGGCTTGCTGCCACCGCCATTTGTTATGGTGCCTGGGCTCCCAGAGCAGCAGTCCGGCGCGCTCCTGCCCCAAAAGACCCCTGCTTATATGCACCCTCACATTACTTTTCAGGTTTTATATTTTCATATTAATGTTTGTCCTTAATATTTGTTAAAAAATGGATGATTTAGTTGTTTTCTCTATTCTTTTACTTAATCGTTTTTTATTCTGTATCCCTAAAAAATATTAAAAATAAAATTAAAAAAATAAGAACAACCATCAGGCATTTATACGGTTTTGTCCGAATGAGATACACTTACTCCGCAGAAATGAAACAGGATCTTAGTGGCACTAAACATTCATCTCAGCATCAGTTCTCATTGAGTCAGAAGGTGTCTTACTAGATGTATGAAGACAGCTCTGACTCACTCACAAAAGCTTATGATGGAATCAACGCTGTTTATTTTTAAGATTCCACAGATTCCACTGGATACCTGTTTAACATTGCTACAAAAGACTAACACAGATTCCCCACTGGAATTATCATCCCGGAAGGCACTTCCACCTAAGTCATCACTGTAAGCACAGTAGGTACTTCACTGACATAAGAACATAAGAACATAAGAGACGCCAATGTTGGATCAGGCCAAAGGCCCATCCAGTCCAACACTCTGTGTCTCACAGTGGCCAGAAATACCAGTGCCATCAGGAGGTCCACCAGTGGGGCCAGGACACTAGAAGCCCTCCCACTGTTGACCCCCCCAAGCACCAAGAAGACAGAGCATCACTTGCCCCAGAGTCCCTATCTATACCTTGTGGCTAATAGCCACTGATGGACAAGATCGAGATAGCCTGCGCCACCCAGGTCAGGGATTGCAACACATCCATTTTGCTGAAACAAAGAACCTTGAACACAACTCTCCCAATAAGCTGGATCACGGACTCACTTGGGTTGATCTTTGGCAAATCGGTCAGGATCAAAAATCAGTGGGTCCTTGAAATACCTTCCCATGCGTCCCATGATATATGTGCTGCACTGCCAAGAGAAGATGAACATTTAAATGTGTAGGGTGTGAAGTAAGATACAAATACAATAGTCATCATCAACAACAGGGAAATACTTATCTAACCATGTCCTTCTATTGAACAGACAAAAATTCTTCCTTTAGGCTGCCCATGTTCTGCAAGGTAATTCTGCATCTTGGATAGGAAATTAAATAAATGTGCCTTATTTTGTATGCAATGCTCCCTCTAAGCCGCGGAGTCTTGTGAGCAGAAATTCTACTTTGTGAGCTACTGGCATTAACGTTGTGAGCAAGCAATTTGGCTACTGCATAAATTAGTCTGCTCTGGAGCCATCCTTCCTGAGCTAAAACAAAAATGTGCGAGCCAGAGGCTAAAAAACTGTGACTTTGTGTGTGATCATGTGGAACACAACAAACTATGGCAAGTCCTTAAAGAGATGGAAGTACCAGAAGAGATGGGAGTACCAGACCACCTCACATGTCTCCTGAGAAACCTCTATAAAGGTCAAGAAGTGACAGTTAGAATCGGATATGGAACAACTGATTGGTTTAGCATAGGAAAAGAAGTATGACAAAGATGTATATTGTCACTCTGCTTATTTAATTTATATGCAGAGTACATCATGTGAAATGCCGGCCTGGATGTATCTCAAGCTGGAATTAAGATTTCCGGGAAGAACATCAACAACCTCAGATATGCAGACGATACCACTCTAAGGGCAGAAAGTGAAGAGGACCTAGAGACTCTTGCTGAGGGTAAATGAGGAGAGCACAAAAGTTGGCTTGACACTCAACATCAAAAAAACTAAGATCATGGCATTCGGCCCCATCACTCCTTGGCAAATAGAAGGGGGAGTCATGGAAGCAGTGATGGACTTCATGTTCCTGGGATCCAAGATCACTGCAGACGGTGACTACAGCCATGAAATTAAAAGACCCCAGCTCCTTGGGAGGAAGGTAATGGCAAACCTAAACAGCATGATAAAAAGCAGAGACATCACCCTGCCAACAAAAGTCCACGTGGTCAAAGCAATGGTATTCCCAGTAGTCATGTATGGCTGCGAGAGTTTGACCATAAGTAAGGCTGAGCGCTGAAGAATAGATGCTTTCGAATTATGGTGCTGGAGAAGACTCTTGAGAGCCCCTTGGACTGCAAGGAGATCAAATCAGTCAATCCTAAAAGAAATCAACCCTGACCGTTCCCTGGAAGGCCAGATACTGAAGCTGAAGCTCAAATACTTTGGCCACCAAATGAGAAGGGGGCACTCACTGGAGAAGACCCTGATGCTGGGAAAGACTGAAGGTCAAAGAAGAAGGGGACGGCAAAGGATGAGATGGTTAGACAGTGTTATCAAGGCAACGAACATGGAATTAAGCAAACTCCGGAGGACAACAGAAGGGCCTGGCGTGATGTAGTCCATGGGGTTGCAGAGTTGGACTCGACTGCGTGACTGAACAACAAAAAGCTCACACTAACTCAGCTTAGAGGGAACACTGTTTGTATGACTTATTCTATATGTTTATTAGTTCATTCAGGTTTTTTAAGTAATGTGGACTTTTAAATTCTTTTTTAAAAGAAAATCTGAAAAATTGCCTTGGGAAGCAGTTTCATGATTGCCCTAAGGACCACCAAGCAGAATCTCAGAAGGGCCATCTTATGGAGATTCTGGGTTCTGCTGGAAACTGGAATTCCTGATCTAAGTTCTCTGAGGAAACTTATATACCTGATCAAAAAAAGGGTGTTTGCAGATCAGGCCCATGGGCAGAAGTTTTATGGTAAGAAGACAAAACAGTACACAGAGGGTGGAGTACAGCTGCCTGTTTCCCAGAATTCCGAGCCTGGAGCCTCATGGAGTAGAGGCTGATGATGTCATGAAGTGGCGCCTACTGAATAGCAGTATTCATGATAGTACTTTTGCAGACTACTAGGTACTCATTTAAAGAGATGGGTAAAGAATTACCATACCAATATTTAAAAAATGGAAATTAGCTCTGTGCAACATGTAAATTGAGTAGTTGGTACCTCCCATCTCTAATTTACATAGGTAGTAATTACAGGCCTGCACAGAAATATTAGAAGAACCCCAAAAGTGTGCGAGGTACTTGGCGGCCCTGAAATTTCAATGTGCTGTCTGGAGACCTTGAAAATGAGCCCTAAAGGCTTGAGACCTGGCCTTGGGGGGGAGCACTATCATAAGTCAATTTGAAACCACAAAAATGTTAAGTAAATCTGATATGCTGAAAGACTGCTTAATTTATTTATCAAAACGGAACTGTATTTTAAGACTTGGATGGCTAAGTAGGCCCAGCATTCTAGGCTGACCACGGACTGATATTCGATGTCTTTATTCAACCGAGCCTTAGGAACACAAGCATTAAAAATACACTCTGCAAACTCAAACTTACTATTCAAAGCAAAAACACTCCATCCAGTGATACGACAGCCCCCTAAACAGTTAATGGAATGAGGTGGCCAACCTCCAGGCAGTGGCTAGCAATTTCCCGCTATTACTACTGGTCTCTAGGCAACACAGAGATCAGTTCACCTGGAGAAAATGGCCGCTGTGGAAGGTGGGCTCTATGGCATTATACTCCACTGGAGTCCCCTTCCCAAACCCCACCCTCCTAAGGATCCACCCCCCAAATATCCAGGTAATTTCCAACCTGGAGCTGGCAACCCTATGAAGGAATGATAACAATGTAAAATCGGAAATGTGTAATCCTGAAATCTTTCCCAAACAGAGCCCTCTGAGAAAAGCTCAGACTTCTTTTAATGGGGACGGAAGAAAATGGCGGGGACAGACATTAAAATGGTATTATAGAGAAAAAACATACAGCTATATCTTATTTGCCCTGATGTAGATGGCCCGGGCTAGCCCAATCTCGTCAGATCTTGGCCTTGATTCGTACTCGGATGGGAGACCACTGGAGGAGTCCAGGGCCACTATGCAGAGGCAGGCCATGGCAAACCACCTCTGAACACCTCTCGCCTTGAAAACCCTATGGGGTCGCCAGGAGTCAACTGTGACTTGATGGGCACTTTCCACCACATACCTTATTCAATTTGTAAAATACTGCACATTTTCTTCAGAAACGTCACTTTTTAAAAATGAACGCCGGGGACTCAAGAGAGGTAGCAGGTGGTCGGTGCTAGATGCACTTGCCTGACATGCACCCCTTGCTTCGTGACTGCAGGCCCACAGTGGTCTCGCAACTGTATGCCTTCAGGCAGCCTATCTTGTAGACAATCACAGATAACAATCCATTCAACAGACTCACAACTACAGTGGTGTTTGCTGGAATTTTGACCCCTTCTACGACGCCTTCCTTTCCAGTCCAGCGTACGGTGCCTGGAACCGGTGGGTATAATCGCAGGACTTCCTTGAGGACCTAAGAGAGGAGACACAGATGTATCTCAGGGTACACAGAGGAGCCATCCCTTCCTCACGTGACAGGTAGGTAAAAGGAATGGACCCGATTCTGGAATGCCTTGCTTGAAACCCTAGACTGGTTTACTGGGGGGTGATCAGCAAATATTTCACCTTTAGCTTAGCATCGCTGTTGGGACCTTTCTCATATGGTTGGTGCTACAGAGAAACCCACAAGAAGGTTCAGGCCTTTTTTGCATGACCAGACTGAAGTCTGTATTCAGATGTCACTCCTAACCAATATTAAACAGTGTCTGGTTTGATGTGGGGCTTCTGCACATACTTTACACCTTCCCTTCTCACGTAGAGAATCCTGGTTAGAAATTAATACGCAAGAACAAAAGAAGAGCCCTGCTGGATCAGTATTTAGCCCTGTTCACACAGCAGCCAGAACAGTAGCCCTGGAGGGCCAACAAACAAGGCATAGAGGCCAAGACCCTCCCCGGATACAGCCGCCTTGTGCTGGTCTTCAGGGGCTTACTGCCTCTGAATATGGAGGTTCCTTCTACTCATGATGGCTAGTAGACACTGACGGACACGGTCTCCATGACTCTGTCTACCATGATGTATTAATGCAGAATCTTGAGTTACCTGGACTTACTAGTTTTCCTCCCAGAAACCAGGATCTGAAGTGTGGATTAAACTTTGGTTTAGAATCCTGGTTTGTATAGCAAAAGACGTAACTCCAATTAATCTGTGCACCTGCATTTATTTGTCATGGCTCTACTGGTAGCAGGAGCTCCTTTGCATATTAGGCCACACACCCCTAGTGTAGCCAATCCTCCAAGAGCTTACAGAGCTCTTCTTACTGGGGCTACTGTAAGCTCTTGGAGGATTGGCTACACTAGGGGGTGTGGCCTAATATGCAAAGGAGCTCCTGCTACCAGTAAAGCCCTGGACTCATGGGCAACCAGAGTTGGTTTCTCACGGGGATTCTCTGCACAAGAAGTGAGAGGAGAAGGAAGGAGAAGCAAGGCGTGTGTATAAACTTTGCAGCCAACCAGGTTTATACACATTCTGGCTTAATGGCCAGTTAATGTGACATCTGAACACAGACGAAATGTGTCTTATCTGCAGCACAGTCCCAAAAGCTTTGATTCTGCCCGGTATTTCTTCCATGCTTAATGGAAGCAGAAGAAATAACAAATCCCACTCATTGTTTCAAAAGCAAAAAATAAAAATTACAAAACTAAGAAAATTTTGTAGGTTTGGAGGAGTGGGGAATATCTAATAGATACGTACAATGCACAGCCACAAAACAAGAGAATTAAACAAAATGGTACTATTTTAAGGGGTTTCATGTTCTCTTGGTTCAAATACCATTCCTTGAAAACAACAAGATTTTAAGAGAAGATGCATGAATTATACACAACACATGACTAACAATGTTCAAATTATGCACAATATATAAATGAGACAAAAAGTGTAGTGTGTGTAATCCCGGTGTAGCCGTCCTTGTGAGATAGTGGGTGGTGAACACTCTAGCTGTGATTGGATGAGGCACTCTACTGCCACACAGTGGTAGAATTAGAGTAATACAGCACTCAAAACTGCATGGCCGGCATTTTGAATAACTACTGTGCTATTTTAGTATTTGCTGCTATTCACAGATCTTACCAAATACTTTAATCTCGGCTATTCTGATTGCCCAGTTACTTATACATCTTGACTCTAAATAGCCCTTCCTGGCAACTAACCACTCCACCCTCTCTCTAACTATATGTAAGGCTTGAGGAAGTCTCTTTCAATGTATCTGAAGAAGTGTGCATGCACACGGCGGCTTATACCCAGAATTAAACTTTATTGGTCTTAAAGGTGCCACTGGACTCAAATTTTGTTCATTTAATAGCTCTAATGAGGCCTTGTTTCGAAGTTCTGTATTACAGGTAAAGAGCTCCGAGCTACCCTTTATTTAAAATTCTGGCCCTTCCTGGCAACTAACCACTCCACCCTCTCTCTAACTATATGTAAGGCTTGAGGAAGTCTCTTTCAATGTATCTGAAGAAGTGTGCATGCACACGGCAGCCTATACTCAGAATTAAACTTTATTGGTCTTAAAGGTGCCACTGGACTCAAATTTTGTTCACTTAATAGTTCTAATGAGGCCTTGTTTCTAAGTCCTGTATTACAGGTAAAGAGCTCCAAGCTACGCTTTATTTAAAATTCTGATAAGCATTGTGCTTGATGTCCCATTTGGAAGCCAATATTTTTATTTTATTTATATCCTGCATTTCTCCCCATTGGGGACCCAAAGTGGCATTCATCGTTTTCCTCTCCATCTATATTGGCCTCCCCCTTTTATCCTCACAACAGGTAGGCTGGGCTGAGAGTGTGTGACTGGCTCCTCCAGGCCTACAGCTGAGGCACCAGCAATTCCATCTATATTGGCCTCCCCCTGCTTTGCTGCTTTGTTGCCTTGTTTTTGGTGGTCCACCTGTTTTTTGTACCATCTTAACACCCACAGACATGCCTGAATTATAATATCTTCTGAGAGAAGACGCACTAAGTTGTGTCAAACCATGCACTGCCATCTGACTGATTAGACTTAAATTGTTGTTATAATATAAACTGTTGTTGTAAATTGGGTTTTAATGATTAATTAATGTATTGTTTTAATATTGTTGCTGGTCCCTGTTGTTGCCCACCCTGAGCCTGCTCTGTGGGGAGGGCGGGGTACAAGTCAGGGGGTGTCAGGGGGTGTGGCCTATGCAAATAAGTTATGCTAATAAGTTATGCTACTGAGCTCCTGCACCTCTTTTTCTACGAAATGACCCCTGCATGGCAGAGTGGGGATTCAAAGCCAGGTTTCCCAGCTGCTATTCCCAGACATTAACTAATATCCCATGTAGGCTCCTTGTGGTCTTAACAGCATAGTAAACAGGCCTGTAGCTACAGTGGGGCATTTCGGGGTCCTGTCCCCTTAATTAAAAGCCCCGCCCCACAAATAGCCATGCCAGAAACCTTAGTTTTGAGGAGAGACACCCCACACACACACACACACACAGGGTGAGAGCACGGTGGCTTGCCCTCAGGCTTCCCTCTCCCTCCCACTGTGAAATTGGGGGGGGGGGAGGAACATAATGAGATCTGGGAAAAGACAGCTCAGAAGGCATTTAAATGCCTTCTGAGTCCCCTTCCACAGGGCAAGAAAGCTTAGAAGGGCACACAAGAGTGGCACTTCGAACAGATTTCCAACAATCCCCCTTTCTGCTAGCCGAGTCCCACTGTGCACCACCTAGGTCAGGGTGAGTCTTTCAAAAGCATTCCCATGAGCCTTTCAGAAACAGGCTTTCTTGCCCCGTGGAAGGGAACTCAAAAGGCATTTAAATACTTTCTGAAGGCAATTAAATGTCCTCTGAACTGTTTTTTTCCTAGGAGCTGATGTGCTCGCTGCCCTGTCCCTTGAAAGGAAGGGCTGGAAACAGGCTCAGAGCCTTACGTTAATTAACTGTAATTTAACTGCCCTCTTAAAAATTTAAATGCCTTTTGAAAAAAAAATCCTGTCTAGGGGCCTGACAGTAAAAGATCCAGAACTGCTCTGAATTGCCTGGGGCCTCGTTTTTCAGCTTTACCTGCATTAAGTAGTACCTGTGATAAATACTGGAGGTTTCCCAGATCTTCATAGTTAATGTCTCTCTTTACACCAACAACCTCATCCACTTCAGCCAGAAGCCTAATGAATGCAGACAGGAGAATTTCAGTCAATTGCCTACTGATTTTAAGCTAAAACACATATAGGCCCCGGTCACACGGGCTGGAAAATGCGGAGGGCGAGCATGGCTGTTTGCCCCGGAGGAAAATAACGCACGGTTGCGCGATCAGACGTCCCTTCAAGGTCCCGTGGTTAGGGGGCAGGTGCCGATCACACAATGATCCTGCAAAGAAGCAGTGCGGCACAATCACACCAGCAATCGCTAGGCACCGCTTCCGTGGCAAACGGGATGGATTTTTTTAAAAACTGAAGTTTGTGCATACGTATGACTGAGCAATCGTATCTGCACATCCGAAGGCGGGTGGTGGGCTTACCGGAGAGGGCGACAGACGCTTCCGGACCCCAACAGAGCTCCGAGGCATAGCCAATGGAAGAGGAGGTGGGGCCCCTCGTCACAGCCGCTCTAACCGCCTGCGCGACTGTGGCCATAGCGACCCTCCAGAGGCGGCAAGCCTGGCTGCAGTGGGAGGGGGCCTCTTTGTGCGCATGTGCCGTTGGGCGCTTGTGCGCATCCTGTGGAGACTTGGGGGAAAAAACCCTGTTCGCGACAGGACATGGGTGGGCGCCGGATGCCACGGGATTCCACCAGAAACACGATCAGGCGCCCGCCCTTGCCCAGCGGTTTCCTGAAACTAGTACCTCGGAGGTACTAGTTTTTTACCCCGCATCTTCGGCGGGAAGCCTCGGGTTCACCATGGGAGCTCTACGCTTCCCAGATGTGGCGCTGTGATCATGCCCGGAAAATCCGCCTATCTTTTGTCTCTCTAGTGTGGCTAATGTTCCGTGTGACCGCAGCCATACTTCTGTATTTGAAAAAGATGAGGATTAACCTGCAAGGGCCACAATTTCTCACCATAATTTCTTTATTCAGTCCCCGTACTCAGTGTTCACAAAGCAACACTATGTGTTTGTAATTATTTAAGTTTGTTTAACACAGCAATGAATGTCTTAACATCATAACACGGTTGTCAATGTTCTTCCAGGAGAATAAAACGGATACTGCTCAAATTAATTATCATCCAAGAGCCATAAAGATTCAATTATACTGAAGTTCCAAGAGATTACATAAAAGCAATCTATAAAAGCCTTTAATTTCATAAAATGCATCTCAATTACATTATTCTTCCAATAAATTCTCATCTTGCAGTGATATCCTAAACAAGAGTTATACCCTTCTGATCTCATAGACTTCAATGAACTTGTCTGCTTAGGATGGCATTGTGAAGTACTGCCAGGGGCTGTTGTGATGGGCATGCACAACGATGGGTCTAATGGGGTTAGACAGATTCACAGAGGAGGAGTCACCATGGGATACTAGCCATAGTGAGTAAAAGCAACTTTCACATACACATTCAGTAAATCTTTGAATAGGCTTATCTAGGACCCAACATCAGGGGAGGGGCCTCAATCTCCAATTCAGTCTTTGTTGGCCTTCCAGGTCAACCTGCTGACCACTGTAGAATTGGATAGACTAGATGGACCACTGGTAGCAGAACTCTTCTCATGTCCTTACATAATATTTAAAGAGCTTTTCATCCACAGTATAATCCTTCCTTTTCATTACTTGTGCAGTTTTCAGGGTAAATATCTATATATCTAATAGCCAAGTTGCCCCCTGAGTGCGGATATCTAAAGCCACACATTGGGGGCACCTAGGGGTCAAAGAGATTTTCCTGCACATTTGGGGCAATCCCCAGATGTGCAGAAAAACCTGAAAAGTTGAAAAAATATTTAAATCCCCCCAAAAGTAAAAGTGTTCCCTGCGCATGCGCAGAGAACGCTCTGGCCGTTGGGAGGGGAGGCTCAGTGGACCCAGTGGCTGGGAACCACTCAGGCCTCACCGCTGGTGCCGGGGGGGGGAATAGTGGGAGAAAGCTCAGCAGGTCCATGCAACTCACTGCCAGTGCGGGGAGGTGGGGGGAAGGATTGGCGGGCCCAGCAGCTGGGAGCCATGCGGACCTGGCTGTTGGTGC